GAATGACTCATCAGAAATATTTAAAATTTTCAGAGTAGATAAATATCGATGAGTAGAACAAAAGTTATCATAGATCTCAAATTCCAAAATACTTCCTTCTAGGAAAGATTGTAAAGACTAGAAATTATACTTGTAATCGAACCGATGATTATTAAGTTTCCAGTTGTTATCAAAATCTCAGTTCTAAATATTGAGCCAACACTTTCTCATCATACGATAAATGCGTCAGATCATGCTGAATGAATTTATTATGTTCACGAAAAGTTAACCAAGTAAATAGAAGTTAATTTCGGTCTAAACAAAAGATTTTTCACATCGAAATTTCGAACGCACATGTCTGTACTATCGAATGAGTCATAAATAATGAACCTCTCAGTATTTTGACCATAATTTTTTTTATACTTCTCAAGTCTTCGATCTGATTGTTTTACCAAAACATGTATCATTGAAATCTCTACTAAAACTTGATAAAACTTATTAACTATAGAATGATAAGGAGATAAATTAAACAAAAAACACTTAAGATCTAGAAACAGATCAAATTTCTAAACTCACATCCACATCCTAATTCATGAAACATCATATTACCCAGTATTGATTGAATAGATACTAAATCAATCTTAGAGATTTCCATCGATTTAATCCTATTCGAAGAATTTGAAAATTTCCAGTTGTTTTGATCTGTAGTTCTAGAGTTTTTGGAAAAGATCTGATAACGGAGCCTAGATAGCATCTTTTAAGTTCGGATTTGTTTTATATTAAAGAGAAACGACTTCTGCATTACGTTCATTAATAAAATTTTATCTGATAATTTTTTTCTTAAATTCAGTTGGCAGAAGATTTAAAAAAGCAACAGATTTAGACCATTTTTAATAGAATTTCGTTTCGTTGTCTTTCGAATTGTTTGAAATTCTCTAAATTTTCTAAGGGAAAATAGCTTAGAAAGTTTATCTGTTTCTAGGTGCTGAGTATTTTTCGCTTAATTTATCGTCGTACCATTCTATAGAAATGAGTCTTAAGAAGTTTTCATTGAGATTTTGGTGGCATATCTTTTTGTAAAACAATCAAATCGAAAAGTTAAGAAAGACAAACATTATAGTCAAAATACTGAGAGGTTCATTGTTTATGAGCCATCTGATATTTTTAACCTACCTTCGTTACAAAATATTCGAAAAGATTTCATTCTCTTGTCAAGTTCTTGACAAATACTACCATCATGTAATTGTAAAATTATTTTCGACATTAAGAAACCTTGAAATAGAAAGTCTAATATAAAATCCATATTATCTTTCTATCAGCAATAGTATCCTTTCATGAATTGCAATGCCTTTCAGCTGTATTAAATAATTATTTTAAATAAGAATAGATCAAAATTCTCAATTGTAAAGAAATTATATCTTTATTGGAAAAACATAGAAATTATTACTATTAGAAATTCTAAGAGTTTTATATTGTATGTATTTGTAGAACTGAGATAATAAACTGTTCCTCGAAAGAATTAAGGATTTAATTGACACGATATTTTGCCGGTTAACTCAAGAATTCCAATCATTTGCTAGAAACTAATAGTATAATATTTTTCCAAACGAAAAAACCTAGGTATTCCAAATAGTGTTCAGTACTTGTAGAAAAACAAGGTTTCATCTCAATCGAACGTACTATGTCGAAGAAACCGAGGACGATTCTACACTTTTTTCGTCAGGTGATCGAAAACTGACAGTGTTAGAGGTTCATGACCGATACTCTCAGCATCTTTAGAAATTATCATTAGGATAATTTTGTATATAAAGAATAATTGCAACGCAAGTTTTTCTGCTAGGGATTTCAAGAGTTGAATATGAATCGAAAACATACTGTTTGTAACATCTGGAAAGCGGCGAGAGAGAAATTTCTTAAATAACAATAATAATTATTATTATTATTTGATTTAGATTTGTGAAATTTGTGATGTTGTAGAAACAGGAAAAATCTATAATCTTGGTGTAACACGTACAAATAAAGGTCTTCGTTTAAAGTATAAAAACAACTTATTCTTTGTTTACTGTTTTTTTTTTATTATTACAATATTTTCTCAATTAGACATGGAAATAATGAACGTATATTTCGACTTGAATATGTATCAAATAATGAAATATCTGATTTTGAATTTCAACGTTGGAGAGAAGCAATGATCAAACAAGTAACCAATCAAAAAAAAAAAAGTGAATATTTTATTTTATTTTGTGTCTTTAGGGTATTTCATTGCCAACATTAGATGATCTTGAAAAAAAAATGAAAGAAATTGAAGAAAGTAAACATTATGTTTATAATAATAATGATATAACACAAATAGTACAAGAAAAAAAACGATTTCGTAAAGCACCAATAAATTATGCTGTAACAAAAAATGAATTATTAAAAGAAATAGTATATTAAACTGTATATTTTTATTAATAAGAAAAAATAAACTTGCGTCTTTTTATTTTTATTTTTTAGGAAATAGCAAAAGATGAAAATGATATTGAAAGAGAAACTGAATTAAGAAAACGGCTTACTGAAATGGAAGAACGAGCGTCAGAACTTGATCGTAAAAGATCAGAGAATATTTCTGTTATGGCGTAAGTAAAAATAAAAAAAAAAGATCAGAGAAAATGAAAGAGAGAGAGAAAAAGAACAGAACCAGTAAAAAATGAGGTCAAAAAGAAAGACAAAAAAAAAAAAAAAAAAGGTATGAGAGGTCGACAGATGCAATGTGGTCGGACATCGATGTTCAGTAAATATATGCGTTATCGATATATTAATCGTTATGCATGTTTATTCGTCATCGTTTTTTCGTTTGGGTGGATTGTTTTTCATTGTAAAAATAATTGTAAAAATTGTCAACGAATATTAACAAAGGATGAATCATACGGAACGTATGATATACCAAATATCGTGCATTTTATTACGGGACAAGGTGATTCATCAGATGCAATACTTGATCGATATGGTCCACGTCTTGGTTTTCGTCGAATGGAACGAGCTTCTCGTGAATTTCAACTAATAAATTATCTCGTTCTACTTTCTGCTCGTAAACATATTAAACCTGATCAATTATATATTCATTATTCTTTTGAACCAACTGGTTATTGGTGGTTAAAAGCTAAACAAGATCATGAATTAAATTTAACTCTTAATCATATACCTGAAATAACATCAATTTATAATTATCCATTATATCATCATGCACATCGTACTGATATAGCACGTTTAGAAATTCTTGATAAATATGGTGGTATTTATCTTGATTTAGATGTACTTATATTAAAATCATTTTCAAATTTAATTTCGAATTCATATCATGTTGAAGCTATATTTGCATGGGAAAATCAAAAATTTCATGCTATATGTAATGCTGTTATAATAGCACCAAAAAATTCAAAATTTCTTCGACGTATTTATCAATCATATCAAAGTTTTAATTCATCTTGTTGGGGTTGTCATTCAATATTATTAACTGGACAATTAGCAAATATATATAAAAATGAAGTTTATATATTACCTTCACGAGCTTTTTTTAAACCATCATGGTCACATATTGAAGATTTATATGTAAATAATATATATAATTTTAAATATAATTATGCATGTCATCTATGGAATGCTTATATTGGAAATATATTTTTATATAATTTAACAATAAATTCTATATTAAAACCTAAAAAAATGACAACATTTATTCGAATGATTATTCATGCTGTTGGAAAAGAGAAATTAAATATGATTGCGCGATAATTCATTTTTTTTTTGTCTTTATTTTAAATAAATTGTATTAAATTTTGAAATTTTTCTATTGTTCTTATTAATTTTTCTTTTTTCAGTCAAATTAATCGAAGAAATCGAGAGAGTACACAAAAAAATATTGAAATGGTTTTAGCTGTAAGTAACTAATTTAGTTTTTTCTTAGGTTATTTAAATAAGATCGTATTTCTATATAGCGTGAAGCACAAGAACATCGAAATACAGCGTCAGATCCATTTACACGTCGTCGTTGTGCACCAACACTTGTAACAAAAGTAAGTATTTGAATGAAAACAATATTAATCATGTATATATTATTTTATTTTTTAGACTCCACAAGTAGCTGCATCAGCAGATCTATTACGAGAATTACAACATGAACGACGTGCAGCTGAAGCAGCAGCAGCAATGAAAAAACATCTTGATGAACAACGTTTATTAGTAAGAAAATATTAATTAAGAAAAAAAAAATTTTTTTTTTTAATTTTTTGTATTAGGCTGAACAAAATAAATCTTCAACAACGACAACTATAATAACACAAACAACCACAGATAAAACAACAGATAAAACAGTATGGATTACAAAAAGAAAGAAAAAAACATAAGTTTGGAAATTTCCAAATAGAATTTTTCTTATACAATATTAGATAAATTACATAGTGGAAGCGAAATACCTTACTTAATTTCTGAATTGAAAGAAACAGGGTAATTCTATTCGATGAGTGCAGATGTACAGAATGAAATTCTGAATTACACTGATTCGTAAGTAGAATCAATTCTTTTTGATGTTGCATCTATGCATAAAATTTATTAGTTAGCAAAAAAACAATCATCATAAAATAACTAATATTTTCAGAACTAGTTTATAATATCATATCAGTTTTTAAAATTAATAATTTGTACATACAAGATTCTGATTGATTCAATAATAAAAAAATAAAACATTACAGAGTGTCCGAAAAGTCATCTACCTATACATTTCTGCTGCGAAAGATATTAATTTGACCGAAAGAAAAAATAGTGAAAGACGTATAACTATACCAACAAGAAATACTAGTGTACGAAAAATATTCGAGAACAAAATTAACGACAAGACAATACGTTTCTTTATGTGAATATGAGTGTTAGTGTGGATGTCCGTGTGGAGAGTGCATGCAAATATCAGCCTTCTCTTTACACCTACTCCCACGTTCACACCTCACAACCCAGGGTTGGAACCGGTCCGGCAAACCGGTACCGGTCCGGCCGGACCGGTACCGGACCGGACCGGACCGGTTGAAGAAATCGACCGGGCCGGTAAAGACCGGAATTTTACCGGTTGAAAGTTTTCAGAAATCTTCTTTGTTAACCCTGTTTTTGACCATAAAAACTAAGGTATCACATGTTTTTTCTGTCAGAATACGTGAAAAAGTACTCAAAATATATGTTATATTAATCGTTTTTTCTGAGGTTCTCTTTAAAAAGATTTATTATGATGAGTGCCTTTTACATGCGCCTTAAACTATTTCATATTTGGAGCCATTTTTTCTAAAAATAGGTTTTCAAAAAAAAATTCGACATTTTTTCACCGGTTAATAACCGATTTTCACCGGAATTTCACCGGTTGGACATGTGATTCCAACCGGCCGGTTTCCGGCCGGACCGGACCGGTAGGATTTTTCAACCGGCCGGACCGGACCGTTTTAATATTTCTCAACCGGTTCCACCCCTGTCACAACCTATCCTTAATAGAGTCACTTAATTATATATGAAACATTTTCTACATTTTTTAGGGGGTATATATTCTTTCGTCATTTTTATACGATCGACATTGGTTTTTTCTTTCGACCGAATTGATACATACCTTCACTACGGTTTAACCAAATCAAGTAGCTTTTTGCTTCTGATAATAGAGGAGAGTTGTCAGTTTATAAATTTTTCTGAAGTCTATAACTTTCAGATTGCATTTTGTTGTTCGAAACTCGAAAAATAGCGATTTTTTCATATATTTAATCCAAAAGTTATTGATTTCAGGAGAATTTATAAACTTCCAGATCTCCTCTATTACCAGAAGAAAAAAAAGTCATTTAATTTGATCTCACCGCAATGGAAATATATGGTTTTATTTTTCTTAGGTGACTTTTCGGAGGCACTTGGATATTCATTTCAACTTCGAAAAAAAACCAATTTTAAAACTAATGTTTTATTCAATGTGGAGACTACAACTCATCGGGTTCAAAATTTTCAGATCCGGTGATTGTGAGACCAACCCGACAGACCTTAATGGATGCTGAGGAGACGGTGCCTCTCCGAAGATCGTATTTGCCCTTCTGGAGTTTTAAATCGGCTCTTCGAAAGAGAAAATTCTAGATAAAACATTGGTTTTATTTTAACTTTAATATAAATAATCTTTTTTTTTGTTATTTTAGCTATCAGAAAAGAGTTTTACAACAATGACAACTGGTGAACGCGGCTCATTTACATCATTTTCCGAGCATAATGATGAAATGTTTACATCTCATGATTTTGAACTTGATCTTAATATAAAACTTTTTCCTGATTAGTAGAATTCTTAAACATATTTGTTTGATGTTGTATACGTATTTCCACTTCAAACATACTCGGTTATCTTTTTTTTTTTGTTTGTTTGTTTGTGCTTGTATATGTAAAACTATATAAATATATATAAAACTATTAAAACAAAACAACAAACAAAATTAACATGTATTTTCTTTTCAGATTAATTTAATGGAATATTCAACGCATGTATTTATTCAACAAACACCAATAACAGAACAAAATTTTGAATTAAAGTAAATAAAAATAAATATTTTGTTTTTATTATTTTAATTGTTTTATTTAATAGACTTCAAGATGTATCTGATCAAATATCAACAAATGGTTGTGTATGTCCAAGTGTATTTTCACCATTTACAAATCTTGTAGTACAACAAGCAGTAGTTTCATCACGACATATTGCTTTTTTACTTCAAGTAAAAATTTTAGTTATTTTATTTCGAAATAAAAGTCAATGTTGTTTATTTATTACATTAGGATGGTCGTATATGTCGAGTATCATTTCGTGTTCAAGCTGATAAAATTGAACCAATACCAACAGAAACAACGAAAAGTAAACCAAAACATATAACACCTCAAGCAATGCGTCCTCAATCTCGTCAATCAATTCAACGTTCAAGTAATTTTGATCGTCCAAGTTTTGAAAATCTTGTTTTATCATCATCAAATCCATCAATAGCTGCACATAATGCTGCAGCTGCTGTTGCTAATACAACAAATTCAACAAATCCAAGTGGACAAGTTGATTTATTACCACAATTACAAGCTGGTTATCCATTAAGTCGACAACGACATCATTTAATACGAACAGCACGAGGACGAACAGGAATTATATTTGGTTCAAGACCTTTAATACCAGCATCAAGTGTTCCAGAAGAATTAATTGAACAAGTAATGAAAATTAAAAAAACAAAGAAAATTTTTATAAATTTCATTTATTTGTTTTTTCAGGTTCAAGTTGTTCTTCAAGGAAAATCAAGAAATGTTATTTTAAGAGAATTACAAAGAACGGTAAATTAATATTAAAACAAAAGAGAATTAAAGAATATTAATTACTGGTTCTTTTTTAAATAGAATTTAGATGTAAATATGGCTGTGAATAATTTACTTGCACGTGATGACGAAGGCGATGAAGATCTTGATGACGATTATGTCGGAGGTAAAAAAAAACAAAGAATTTTATTTTTTCTTGTTTAATTTTCATTATTATTTATTTTTAGCTGATCTCATCTCCTTACTTGATGTTAATCCACATAATGAACATCCAGGAATAATACTTGAATCAGAATTTTTCGACGAAGCTGATTTTGCTTTACGTTATAGTAATATACAACGTCGAGTTGTTTCTGCTCGAATTGGGAATGTTGGTACGTAAAAAACAAAAAAGAAAATATTTCAAACAATTATGAAACATTTCTCATTGATGAATTATTGGAACGAGTCGAGAGCAGAAATGTGCGGGACTTATGCCTGCACATCTCTAGTCGAGAAGCATACCGAAAAGCTTAATAGTGATTCTAGCTATCGTAATAGTTTCATAAGATCATCAATGTTTTCTCAGAGAAAGCGAAAAATGATTGATACGAATACGAATCGAGAAATTTACAGTAGTAGAACGAAAGCCTTTGACTGAATACACAACTAAAAAAAATGCTACTTTAGAAATTATAAATAGTTCTTCTAATTTTTATAGTAGTACCATCTAAAACAAAAATGAATGTCTTCTATTTATTTTTTCAGCTCTTTCATTACCATCTTGCCACGATTAAAGTTAATTTCAGTTTCTTTTTGTAGTAGAAAAGTAACGCTTTTGTCTTGAAAAAATTCACTTATGACTACTTAATCGCATATCACAAGCAAGCCTTGGTACCTAATAATGGATTTTTGGATACTTTTTTTCATGAAACGTTAAGTTTGACTATATGATATAATTTCATGAAAATCTCTAGATCTAAGAATTTTATTTTTAAAAACAAGCTCTACATAGTTTATATCATATGCTGCTTTGTCGTGATTTTTAGTTTACTAATAGGGTCTTGCGTCCTTTTTCTGGTCCAAGCTTAGCTTATTCATCCTCGTTGATGCCTTTTTTTTTTGTATTACTATAAATCTATCGACCAATTTTGTCGAAAACTATATGATTTGTTACAACTGACAAAACAGACACAGTCATAATTATCTTTATGATAAAAAAAATAATTGTCTCCACCTTTTTCTTTTCATAAGACAATCATTAATAAACACTGATTTCAATTATCTGCATTCACTTTAACAGATTAGAAGAAAAGTCAAAGTGATGCATACAAAAAAAAGCAAATCTCGGATCACAGAATGAAAGAAACTATCGAATATATTCGTCGGAATATGAAATGTTACACTATCCTGATGAAGCAAATGTCAACAATTGAAATCAGTATTCATTAACGATTTTCTTATGA